GTCAACAGCTGGGGGGTGGGCAAAAACTGGGTGGCCACGGCGTGCAAATGGTTGATCAGCTGGACACACCGCGGCTCCCTGGGCGTCCAGCTCTCAAACCGGGCGAGGTATTGCAAGACTTCTTTGGCGCATGTTTGAAATCCCGAGTGGAACGCATCCAAGTCGGACTGAATGGGCGATTTCAGAGATCGCTCCCCTAGGAAGAGGAAGGGGTGGGGGGTGGGCATCAGAGGAATGGAGGCAAGAAGAAAAACACCGACGTTAAAACATCTGCTTATCACGTGGGCCCTGCATTGACTAAAGTGATCTCGGTTTTTCCTCTGTATTCGAGTGATATAATCCACCGGTTGCCGAGAGGTGGGAGGAGTGGGGGATGGCGGGGGTGAGGAGCAGGGGGGCGCTCTACTCCCAGATGAAACATCAACCAAAGTGGAGAGGGCGCAACCGCCACTTTAAATAAAAATCTGATTCCTCTGAGTTCTGCTGAAAGCCTCTAGGATGCTTCGGGAAATGGGCACTTTCCAATGAAGGGAAAGTATAAGCAATTTAACAAATGAGAGTGAGCCCTTGGGCCCAGGGAAGGAGGTGGGGGGTGGGGGGAAGAGTCCTAACACTGCTCCTCTGTGGGCTGCCGGGCTTCATGGGGTGGGTTGGCCTCCCTGAACTGACTTACCATTCTGTAAAGCAATTATCTTCTGATGCTGCTGCTCCGTTAAGGCTGTTAAAGCTTTTAAGTGTTTCAAAGTTAATTCCAAGACTACCGCTTTCTCCAGATGCCCCAGAGTCTGCAGTGGTGCAAAAGAGAAGGGAGCACTTGGTTACTTAAAAACACACATTTGGCTTGATTGGCTCTCCATTCAGCACAGCAACTTAAGCAAACACTTTGAAAGAACTACTATTCCTACACTTCTTGAGCTTTCCACAATTTAGGTTATAAATGATTTCTTGCTTTGAGTTGTGAAACACCTACTCCTGAGTTTGCAGTAAACTACACTATACCACAAGTTGTAAGGCGTCTGATATTTATATTTATTCTTATATCTCTGGGAGTAGTACCAGACTATTAACATGTCCTTGGAGAGCAGCAAAGAATAAAAATGTGCATCTTACTGTCAACTTTAGATGTTCAGGCAGTAAGTCTTTCAGCTGAGCAATGCATTCATTAATTCGGTCTCTTCTTTTCTTTTCTATTAATCTGTGCGGTAATTTGTAGGTATCCTTAGTATATGAAAGTCATGAAAGAGAGAAAACAATAAGCTGAACATTTATTTACTGGATATAACACCCCCCCATACTATGTAGTAAACTATGCTCAAGAAACCTCTTTCCTCTGGACTGTTCTGAAATGCAATTTAAATTCAGGTATGATGTTTAATCTCCCCCTGAGAGTATCCCGCAAACCACTTAAAATTCACAGTTGGGGAAGCTCAAGGGCTGGAATATATCTGCGGGCAGAGCTTCGCTGTGAAATCAATGGCCCTAATTAACTATCCAGGCAGGGGAACATCAGAAACTTACACTTACCTTGCTGTCGTCTCGCTTCATGCTCCTTTTGGGTTTACACATATACAGAGAGGAATAATCCAGTCTGCAAAACAGAAATCAGCATCAGGCACCCGTTCGGGGAGGGGCTCTGCCCTCGCCCGCTCCATACCACTTTCTGGAGAAGGGAAAAGAAAAAGCCAAACTGAAGCCTAGACAGATATTCGCAAGGGTGTGTGCACCTTACCCTATAAAATCTCTATGTTCCAGTAACTGTCTCTCTTGCAAATGAGGAATTCCTTCGTCCATGTTCAATCGCTGTCCGTTTCCTCTGTTTCGATTTTTGGGGTTCTGTTCTATAATCTGTGGGACGGTAGCTTTGGGAGCTCTTGGGGGGATCTGTACGTCTCCAGTCTCTCTTTTCTCTCTCCCTCTTC